ATGCTGTGGGCAGCAGTGGGCCCTCAGTCTGCCTGAGCCCCCCTGGAAGGGGTTGCAGGGAGCTGGGGCGGCGTTCCCAGCTGTAAAGCCACCCCTGCCATCAGCTGAGGGCAGTGGGGCTGGGGCAGGACCGGGGGTGCTTGGAGCTGGGTCAGTTCCCGGGGCTGGAACTTCACTGGCACAGAGCTGTTAGCGAGCGGGAGTCATTCTCCTGTGTCCCACGTCCTGTGCAGGAGCTGGACCAGCCCGGCAGGTCCCTGCTGCATGGGGAGGTGACGGACTCTGCACCCAGTGACAGGACACTGTCCCCGCTCGCTGTGACCAGGGCTGATGCAGGATGCCGGGGTCCCTGCGTGGGTAGGAGCTGCTGTTATGGACAAACCCTGTCTGCAGCCCCTGTCCTCCGTGGGACGCGTGTGTTGTACCAGTGAGGGCTGGGCAAGGCTGCTGTCAGCCCAGAGCTGCTGGGAGGGGGACAGACGCGTGTGACGTGCACACTGCAGGCTGGCAGCCTGCAGAGGTTGTTTGGAGGTCTGGGTTTGGTCACCAGCAGCCATAGAGCAGTTCTGCCTGGGGATGTCCTGCGCCCACTGGACCCAGCACCACCCCACTCCCTGGTGGAAGTGATGAGCAAGGTGGGGAGCTGGGCTCACTCTTTCAGTGGGAGTACAGGCCAAGCGGGAGGACACTGCGCACCTAGCCCAGGCTCCAATTCTCCTGCACCCGTGAAGTGCAGAGAGCTGTGTCCCTTCTGCAGCCCTGGGAAGCCAGGGGCAGGGATGGGCAGTGGTGCTGTGACACGTCCCCTCTGCACTCTCTGCTGATGGTGCACTTAGGGATGCTCTGCTGGAAGGGTCAGCTGAAGAGATGTGGAAGCGGGGCGGCCCAGGGCTGCTGGGCAGACCCTCTTCATCATGCACAGGAGTAGCAGGACAGCCTCATCATCCTGCCCAGTGGCAGGATTTCATGGAGGCTTTGGGCACTGGTTTTGCATACCCAAAAACCAGTACAAAAACCTGATGGAGTGTGGCTGCAGAGTACGTCAACCTGATGGAGACACCTCAGGCCAGCTGCACTTCGCCTGCTGCAGCTCCTGCAGAAGAAGTGGTCCACTGGGGCCACTGGACAGCAGCATCCCAAGCTCACCAGCCTGCACCCCTCTTGCCCAAGCTGCTTGGTCCCGCTGTGGCCAGCACAGCCCTGCAGCCAGAGCTGGACTTCTGGCTGGGCTGTTCCAGCCTGGCCTCTCCGCGTTTCCCTAGGAGTGACCCATGCCCTGTGCCCACCGAAGAGCTGGTGAGGGGACATCCCAGAGAGAGCTGCGTGTGCGGGGGCATCCCAAGGCACTGCCTCACCTGAGAAGGTCCCGGGGAGCAAGACAGAGTGCAAGCAAAGCCGTGCCGGACCCCTCCCCAGCATGCAGCTGGGGGAGAACCGGGGGGGCCCGGCAAGCCCTTGCTCCTGAAATCAGGGTGTTTGAGAAGGTCCCGGGGAGCAAGACAGAGTGCAAGCAAAGCCGTGCCGGACCCCTCCCCAGCATGCAGCTGGGGGAGAACCGGGGGGGCCCGGCAAGCCCTTGCTCCTGAAATCAGGGTGTTGTATTTACTTTCCCCTTTTGGCAGCTAGAAGGGGAAGCCCC